TACCAATTAATTATTTCTTAAAAACTTAAAAAAACAATTAAGATAGATAACTTAATTTAAAAAATATCTAAATAGAAAACATAAGATTGGTATGTAGTCAAATAACAAATTTCAAATTTATTTTTTTCATTTTGGCAAATTTGTTGATTGTTTCATCAATGGATACAAAAATATTTTTAAGCACATGCAACATAGCCAAACCTGTTAGTCTATGCTGGTTTAGTTTTGTTCTTAACTATGATTTCAATTGACAAAAATATATTTTTGGTCAATATTTGCAAGTTCAAGAATATGGAAACAGATATTGTCAGTTATTATGATTATTATTTGGGTTAGGGGTTTCTAGTTCTATAAAATACACAAATATGCATGCATTTGTGCACAAAAAAATGACTAAATACCTATGCAAAACAAAAAGTACCAGATATTATGTTGTAAAAAAAAAATTAGACGAGTAAAATTATTAAGGACTTACATAACTAATAAATACAAAAATATAAAATATGCATAAATGCACCAAAAAATGACTAACTAGTAAATATGTGGTAAAAAATTGTTACTTTAAATTACTTTATATTATCTGATAAATACCTCGGTTATGGTTGTAAATGTTTGTTACCGTAGCAATATCCGTGGAAGATGATACTATTCGTTCCACAGCCAAAAATGTTATGATATAAGAAGATAAACAAAAATTGATACCCGTTACTTAATTGACACATTATATTATTGAATGTATTATCATATTATAATGATAGACTAGTAAGTTATATTCTTAATTATTTATAAATTACATTTTTTAAATAAATCAATGAATTATATTCAAAAAAAATACGAGATATGAGGGGGCGAATGTTCCCTTCCCCCCACTCAAATACGCCCTTGTGCAGTATTACTTACAAAAAACTAAATTTAATTAACGTGTATGCACATATATTCTTAACTGTAGTTATTCAATTTTTTATACACATTGTTCATATTAGGGTGTGCCGAGACACACCCGGCACACCCTGTAGAACCGCCTAGGTAAGTAAATATACTTAATCGATATTATATTATTTACAATGGTACATTATGTTTGACGGTTTCCTTAAATTTTGTGTTGTATGGTCATGTGATAACGATCGACAATAGTCAATTATTTCAAAATAACGGTAATCAGGCCCGTATTTAGAGCGGGCACGGGTAGGCACATGTCCGAGGGTGACAAGTCTCAGGGGCGGCAAAATATTTTAGCGAAATTAATTTAAAAAATATTTAAGTACCTAATGAAAAAAAAATAAAACAATAAAAAAAAGAAAATAGTATATTTTATTATGTTATAATTTCTTTAATTTGTAAATTAAAAAAGTATTAAACGATTTTCTTTTACAAGTTATATTTTAATATTAAAGAATCTCGATTATGGATGAAATAATAAGTGTTATATTATTATTATTATTTATTTTTTTGAGAGGGGCATAAATAATATGCCCGGGGGTGCCAAATTTTTAAATACGGGCCTGACGGTAATTATTCTTATTTTTTCAACCCCCCTCCCCCCTCCCCCGAAATTTTTTTCTGCGTCTACCCCTGCGAACAACGCTTTTTCCTAACAAATATTTTCTTAATTTTTATAAACAAATAATCCTAAAACGAAAAATAATGGACGGGGTGACTTGTTGGGACCCCGTGGGGGGGGAGGGTGATGTGCGATCGCGACGTGACTCCGGGTTGCGAATACCGGCGTGCCACGAGCGGTCCGCCGCACTGCCCGTTTTTATTGGTTTTATCCGACCGAAATCACGCGCAACACATTGATATAATTGGTCTAAAACGTAATGGTAACGGACCGACAGTGGTGCGAAACGATATACTCTCGAGGTTATTTTTTATTTTATTTCTCTCTCGCGTAGTAAACCAAACGTGGCGGATTAATCGCAATTAATATAATCAACTAATAGCATTGTGTGATTACGGGCGCGACACCGCTCGTCCGAATGAAACCCGAGCTCGTCAACCCCGTGGAATCGTATTCGATTTTCACCCCCGAGGTCAAAAACAATTTTCGTCCGTTATTAATTACGGAAATAATACTAACTCGTGAAGTTTTGGTTAACACGTCGTGGCACGCAAATATTACATACGACTATGACAACGTTGTTTTAACAGTAATATTTTTTAAACGTTTGAAATTAAATATATGTATACGTCTATTAATTTTTAAGAAATGCAACTACGTGAAAAAGTGTTAAATACGTTTATCTTTTAGTTTTAGATCGGTTTAATTGAAATTTCATTCGTTACTTACCATGACGAACGAAATAAATGTTGAGTAGATGATGCACGGACACTGTTTGTGAGAATTCGTTTCGATTTCTTATTTTTATTAAACGAAACGACTTTTTGTCGCTGCAATTTAAATTATGTACTTATATCTTTTAAGCTTTGGTGACGGAGAGAAAAAAACAGTTATTAATAAAAACTCGTTATTATATACGCAAGGGAGATAATTTGTAAGCCCGCAACCAGTAATATACTATTTTTTCGTTTCGAATTCGCATCGCGTCTTACGTTCCGCAATAAATTCAAATCAAAATACAGAAAAGTAAAACTTAAAACGAGTTTTAAGCTTTTGGAAGTATTTTCTGTGCATTCGTTTTTATTAATATGTATTACAAACCCTACGAGTTTATGATCGATGCGTTGATTCCAGAATATTTATGGGCATTTAATAAAATAATAAGTAGTAAATGGTTAACACGCAGAAATTAATAAATAAAAAAGCGCTTAACCTGAAGTATTATTATTATTATTTTGTATTTTTAAGTGTTTATCACTTTTGGAGTCATTTTCCACATTTTTAGTCATTTTTATTGATTTCACACTAGTTCACTTCTTATCGATTTTTGTCGACCATTATGCCGATAACTTAAGACTTGTCCGATTTTATCTTGCCAATTACATTCGTCGTTGTCGTGTTTTAATGAATATTATTATACCTACATTTTATTATTTTTCTTAATATTCGATTAGTATCTGATTTTATCTCCTCGATTACAATCGTCGCGTCGTTATCGTGTTATAGTGAATAATACCTGTTATATCTAAATGTTATTATATTTTGTAATATTTTTTTGAAATGGCGAAAATTAAAACGTCTTGACGTTATCGCGATGCGTTTGTTAATACTTGTCTGCGTCTCCCAATCGTTTTTGTGGAAGTGGAGAGAAGTTTTTCCTAATATAAATATTTATAAATAAATAATCGTCGTTCATTTACTTTTGATAACATAAAATACGCTCTAATTGTAAAATGCAATGATTTAGATTTTTTGAGTAATCCGTAAGCTTTGATAAATTTATAAAACAGATATTTGTAATTTTTTTATTTCATATTCCAAGTAGTGATGGGAATAATCGAATGAAATAATCGAATCATTCGATTATTTGTAAAATCGATTTAATTCGATTATTTTAAAATCATTCGATTAATCGAAACCATTCGAATCAATTCGATTATTCGATTTAATTACCTAATCATAAACATTCGAATGATAGAATAATCGAATGAACATAAATTAGTTATTTAAAAATCATCTTTACTGATTCTTTAGTATTTAATATTTATTGACAATAAAATATAAATAAGTAAAAACTAATTATTTACATCAATATTATATGTATAGTATAATTACTATAATTTAATATGTTGTACTGTGTATTGTGTAATACAATTTAAAATATTTAGCTTTACAATTAAATGAAAGTTCTGATAACAAATTTAATTTATAATTAAAATTCAATAATTGTGTTTCTGTTTAAAAAAATAATAAAATCCAAGTTTTTTGGGTGAAGTCTATTCCTACGGTCGTTGGTAATCTGCCCTGCTTTAGAAAACACGCGTTCCGATGGAACCGATGTTGCGGGAACACTCAAATATTTCATTTGCAACATGTACAATTCTGGAAAAGTATTTTTGTTTTTTTTCCAAAAATCCAGTGGACTTTGCTTGCGATTTAAATATGGCATTTCTAAATACTGACGTATTATAAGTGAAGCTGTAATTCCTGTTGATAAAGTGCTTCTGATCTGGGACACTTTCGTGTCAAATTGTTTCCATAATACATTGGATTCGACGTTGATACTGTTGATAGGTACACTACATGTATCTTCCTGGTGTTTATTATTTAATATATCAGATAGTTCTTCCATAAGCAGTTTTTCGGTATTATTTGCATTTTCAATTAATCCAAAACCTGCTTTTTTAAACCTAGGGTATAAAAAGGTTGATTTAGCAACTATTTTATCACGTTCTAGTATACCTAATCGTCTAACGATGACTTCAATTACAATTTTTTGAAGTGCATTTCCAGCAGTTGTATTAGTTATTATACTTTTTAATGTATGTTGAAGGCCCCTTACTAATGGAATGACTGAAGAAAGTGTTGGATATATTTCACCAGATAACTCAACTGTCATGACGTCAAATGGTTTTAATATAGGTAGACAATCAGTTATTAATTCCCAATCTAGTGCAGTTAAAAGGTCTGGTGCACGGGGAAGAAATGTCATAGCTGCCGACAAAAGTGCTTTAATTTGTACAAGTCTATCTAACATATGAATGCTCGAATTCCACCTTGTACTCACATCTTGTATTACTTTTAATACAGGAAGTCCCATTTGTGTTTGCAGTTCTTTTAGTTTTTCAGACGCAAAGACACTATGTTTAAAATGTCCTACCAATGTGCGGCATTTTTTTAAAAACATCCAGGAAATCTTTATTAGACAAAATTGCTTCGTCAATACTTAAATTGAGTGTGTGTGCGACACATGGATGGTGGTGTTTACTAAGGTGTACATTTATAGCGTTTTTTATATTAGATCCGTTGTCCGAGACTATAGTCACTATTTTATCTTTAATGCCCCATTCATTTAAAATATCTGAAAGCAAATTAGCTATGTTGACGCCAGTATGAGATTCATGCATTTCTCTAGTTGCCAAGACAGGTGAATATAGACGATCATCAAATATAAAATGACAAGTAACTGTTAAATAAGCTATATTATTGTCAGAAGTCCATATATCAGTTGTAATTGACAAACTAGCTACATTTACCAACATTTTTTTTAATATTGTAACAATCTTATTGTATTCATTTAGCAATCATTTTGTAGTTAATGTTTTCCTACTGGGAACTTTATATAAAGGTTGCAATTTTTTAGAATATTCTAAAAACCCACTGTTCTCAACTAACGATAGAGGTTGGTAATCAGTAACAATCATCTTAATTAAACTTTCGTCTATTGAATTTTTTACTTCATCTGTTAAATTGTTACCTTCAGTCAAACCATATAATTTTAATTGGCGACAACGTTTAGGTGCAGAAGGAAAGCAGGGTTCAGTTTGTTGTATATTGTTGGAATTATTAGAAAAAGTAGATGGTCCGGCTGATAGATTCAAATCTAATTCTTCTTCATTATTTAAAACAAGTGTAATGTGCGCTGGATGAATTCTTTTTAAATGCTCTTTGGATAAAACAAAAAAAATGAAAAGAAATTAATAAAATTATAAAAAATATTCACGAAGCTTCAGCTATAAAAGTTGCACATTTTGTACATTTTTTACTATATAATAGTTGGCAAATGTAATTTTTGACGAACTTTGTAAAAATTAAAAATTTGTTATTTCAATTATGACCTCCCAAAACTACATTAATATCTGAAGCTGAACTATGTGTATAATAAAAAATTATAACTTATAAATAATAAAACTGATAACTTTAAAAAAAATGTTTAAATAGTACCTTTCAAATTAGTTGTATTTCCGTGGTATTTAAATTCTCTTTTACATATTTGGCAAATCACACACTTGTCAGAAGTTTTCTTAAAATGTTCCCACACTATAGACCTTTGACTAGGTGCCATTAGGTATAAGCTTAATATAAGTTATAATAATTAAATGAAAAACAATAAAAGTTTAAAAAGTGGATCAAAATGTGCAGTTAGCGTTGTCATAAAATATAAATTCAATACTACAAACGTGTAGCTCAATGCATATCAAATTCACGATTGAATAACAAATATTAAATAATACAACAGACCATACTAAGAATATATTTGTTTGTTTATTTTAATTTGTTGTACATTTAGATTCCAGTCGATTGGTTTAAATTAGGAATTACCGTGTATTACTATCATGTAAGACATCAAAAAATATTTATAATAATTATAACTAACTTAATACTAGGAAGCTATAAATAGTTTTGAATGTTGCATATTTGATATTTCAGTATTTTTCACTTATAGTCTATAGATTATCATTCGATTATTTATATAAGCGACAAGCGTTATAACCGGTTCTAGCAATGTAAATTGTAATAGTTAATAATAATTCATTCGAATGAAATTGTTGGGTTATTACTTATTAGTTTATTAATCATTTGATTATTCGATTTTTTTT